AAAACTAGCGATTTAATTTAAATATTTAATATTTGCATAACTAAAAAAATGTTTTTACAATTTTTTTTTATATATTTTACTGTTTTGTTGCAATAAACGTTCAAACTTTTAATCTAACCTTTGACGTATACATTTATGTTCCCTTAATTAATATATCCTTAAAGGTTGCCATGAAACTTAGATCTATTAAAAATTTATTTGACGTTTGAATTGTCATTTTCAGTATACATTTTCTATAATTTTTGTTTAGTTTTTAAAGTCTTTTTTATAAACAAAAATGAAAAAATGTAGTAAAAGTTACGAAGAAATTCATGAAATTTAACTAAGGACCGGTTTATTCATCTTTAGTAAAGTTTATCGGGCCGATAACTTTCATGTCTTGGCAATATCTAGTATCCAAAGAAATTATTCGTCAAATAAATCAAAAATGTATAAATCGGCCCTAAATAAAATGTGGAACCCTTACAATTATTGTTTAATAAATATATACTATACATTTAACCTTAAATTAAAACTTTAAACGTGTATTACAACAAAACAGTAAAATATATAAAAAATGTATAGACCTTTTTTTAGGAAATTAACTAATCTTTAATCTGATTTAAAAAGTTATGATAATATTTAAATAAAATCCCAAGTTTTAATTGGAGAATTGAAAGTGTGCATACATATTTTTAATAAACATCCAATTAAAACAAAATTAACCGTCAAATTTTTTTTATTTTGCTCTTAAAATTTTAGTTATGACCTAATTAACAAGAATATAAAAAAAAATTAGGTTTCACAGAAAGTCCAAAAATCACCTCTCAGAACAGCACCGTGTATTGTCTTCATAAACGAATATGATTCTAACTAAGCATCCTCTTATTGATTTTATGAAACTCGTCTTAACAATACTGGTTTATAGAAAAACATTACTTTCATTGTAACAACCATGGTTTTATACAAACAATTATGTAAAAATTTTACTAACAAATGTGTTTTTTAAGACAGTGTACATTTTATAAAAATAAAAAATCCCTCCAGATTAAAATCACATAAAATAACTAAAATCCACATTTCAAAAAGTCTCATAGCTAATGGAGGAGAATTAAAATGGGATTTCTAAGACTGTGCTTGTACTTCACCTATATTTATTTTAATTTCGGGCGTTGTAGCACTCTCGCCTCGTAAGGAGATTTCACTTCTTGCCCTAAAAACTAGATGCAAAAATGGAGTAGCAGTAAAAGTCTGTTATGTTAAATCTGGCAAACTGTTTCAGAGAGCGCTGTCAGTTATATTTATTTTATGAAAGCTGTTCCACACAAAAATAATCTGGAACAGTCTTTATTAAAGCAAAATAAATTACATATTTTATTTATTATCCAACTAGTTTTGCAAGTTTCTAACGGGATTCGTAGCCGGAGCATCGCTGGCAAATGCATGCACATGTAGTTTAATTTTGTTAATTAGTCAATAAGTATAAAATGGCCACTCACTAACCAAATTAAACTTTGTAGCTACAACATCAATGAGTTTGTGCGAAAACACACTAATGAAATTAATTTAATTTTTACCTAGTACGTATAACGTATGTATAAATTTATACAAAATATTAAGGTGTGGTAGTACATCTCAAATTAATTTAATATAAAATAAGTAGTTAATTATTAAAATTGCCAGCTCTTTTAAAATTAAATACTCAAAATTCTACTATTCAGGGTTACCACTCCTCTGGAAAACCTGTAAATGTCAGGGAATTTAATTTTTTTAGAAATGTCAGGGAAATGTCAATTGGCAAAAAAATCTACAAAGTCAGGAAATCAGGGAATTCCCAAGTCGGTCAGGGAATTGGTTATTTATAAATAAAACTGGTCAAGAAAATTTTCATTAAAAAAAATTATGTTAACAAGTGTAATTTAAATTTAATTTATTCAAAATATGGCAGCGCTATATGTCAAACTTATCACTATAACCTTAGAAGTCTATATCACGACTATATTCTTCTAAGACTATAACCAACTATTTTTATGTTTTGGGTGATTAATATTTGTTTATTTTGTAAATGGTAAACATAATTTTTAAACCAATTAATTAATCAGTAAAAGCATAATTAATAAATTAATTAATTAATCTGTAAAAGACTTTGAAAAATCATAGTTCCTGTTGATAAAAAACCGTTTCAAGCCAAATGTCAATTTGTCAAACCCAGATGGAAAATACTACTCTCTAAAAATGAATTAGTTAAAAAATGACTAATTGTCATGGCGAAAAAGCAGCCACTAATAATTCTAGTCAACTTCAATTTGCATCCCGAATATTTAGCAGTCAATTCCTATGTAAAATTGTCTGCTGAATCCGAATATGTCGTCAAAAGTTATTTAAGTTTTTAAGATTTATTCAATTTTCTATATAATATGGAATTGACTATATCTAAAAACTGCTATGACGGTCTTTTCGGACAATTTTACATGATAATTGGCTGTTAAATGTCCTGCATACAAATTGCTGTGGACTACAGTTATTAGTGACTGCAGTGAATTAGTCAAAAATGACATATTTCAAAGTGAAAAAGCATGCTTTTTCACTATGAAATAGGTATGTCATTTTTGACTAATTCTTTTTTAGAGAATATGCTTGAAAAAGTTACAGTTTTACATAATAATAATATTAATAATAATATTGCTTTAGAAAATATCCAGAATAAATCAATTTCTTCAATAAAAACTCCTGCAAAAAATGATAGAAGAAATAAAATCTTTTTTTTGTACTTTAAAATATTTACTGATAAGAACTCATCAACTTGATAAACAAGACTCGCCGCAGACAAAATTTCAGAGGCATTTTTAAAATTTTCATTATTTCTGTTATTTTCAGATTGAACAGAAAATTAATGAAATAAAAACCCAAGAAACAAAAACCTAAATTAAAAATTATCCCAAAAAAAATTAGCTACAGAAAATTTTTTGTTTGTTTTTTTTTATTTTTTTAAATTTTATTAACTTCAATAAAAGTTTAGTTTTTTAATTAATCGTTATAATTCTTCACCAAGAGAAAAATAAAATCAAGTATTTTTTTGTATATTTTTAATGATAAGCTTTACTTACTTTTGCTGTCAAGGGAAGCGGGGGGGTTAAAAATTACAAAATTACTGTTTAGCTAATACTTTAATGGCCCCATACTTAAAATTTAAAAAAAAACAATCAAAGTCCAGTTGAAAAAATCATTGAGGGTCAGAAAACCAAAAAGAAAACACAAAATCAGGGAAGGTCAGGGAATTTCTGGAAAAGTCAGGGAATTTGGTTTAGACAAATCGGTGGCAACCCTGCTATTTGAATTAGTACCATGGTTTACTAATAAAATAGTAGTTTTTAATTTAACACACTACTTAATAATTAAAGTTTAATTTAAGATAAGTTACGCTTCCATAAAAAAAATTGAGTGTGATTTTAGTGTTTAGTGGGTCAAAATACATGAAAAAAATCATAAGGGGATATGGTGGGCAAAATTTATTTTCGATTTTGTGACAATTAGTTAAATATGATTATTATAATTAGTCATTTTAGGAAATTACTTTTAAAAAAATAGCATATTGTGTTAGTGCTATCAGACAACTTTGTGGAATGATTTTGTCCGATTTGATAAAGCCATTGTTAAACTGGAGAATTAAGAATTTTCATTTGTACAATATACAGGTAAACATGTTAAGCTGGACCATTTAATTTGAAATTTCAGACTGACTTAATTTACTTTTGCGGTTTTGTTCAAATCGTGCATTTATATTTGCGGCTCAAGGTTTCTACTCCTATTTATTTTAGTTGAATAGTTGAATGGATAGTTGAACATGCAGTCAGCCAAGGGGATTATTTTAGTTATTGTCAACGTAATTTAAATACGTATTTAATTTAAACATACATTGCATTGATCATAGGGTTTTAGAACTATAACTTTATAACTATAGTGTGAAGTTTGCACTGCTTTTCAACTTAGCTTAACTACATTTATTTAACTTTAAATAATTACTCTCTTAAAATGAATTAGTCAAAAATAACTAATTATAACTCATATTTGAATAATTGTCATAGCGAAAAAGCAGTCACTAATAATTAGTCAAATTCTACTGAATGAAATAGTCAAATTAGTAGATTTAAATTTAAAATAATATTGTGACTAATCTTAAATTAGTCAAACTAACTATTTATGTAGTAAAAAATAACTATTTAAAAGTGAAAACGACTATTTTATTAGTAAAAAATGCTGGTACTAATTCAAATAGTTGAATTTTGACTATTTCATTTTTAGAGAGTATATAACCTAATTATATAATTAGAGTTTATATGACCATTATAAAACTAGTAAACTAAATGGCGATGTTATAAAACCTTGTTAAACTCTTATATAACCATGGTATACCATGGTATAAGTGAAAAAGCCACCACTAATAACTGTATACATATATTAGTCATTTTTGAATATATAATTTTTAGGGAGTTCAAAGTTACTAGTTTAAATGCACTAAGCATTTTCGTGTGATATTTACTGTTTTTGTTTTTTTATGGGTAGAAATATAGGAGTTTTGCTCTTTATGCGATGCGAAGCATTTATGTCATGACCCGTGTACATGAATGTAATTATTTAATTTAAGATATTATGGTATAGACGTTAACGGATTTCCAATTACTGTGCAACTATAATTTATTAAGGTTTCCTGGAAATAGCCGCCAAACTATAGAGGACTAGACCAAATTAATTTACCTTTTGTTTTGGTATATGTTGTCCATTTACTGAGACTTAATTAGTTAATAAATAATGGCAATTTAAAATATCATTATATTTTAAACGTTATACATTAATTGGGTTACTGAGATCCTAAATTGAATTAAAAACATAAATTAATTCTGCAAGTTTCTAAAATTAGTTTCATGTATCATTAATTGGATTAAACCACAGGATATATTCTCCCAATACATATATGCGTTATAAATTAACTCTTTTAAACTTAAAAATATTTTTTTTTTCAGGGCCAAACCTTACAAAAATCCAAAGGGGTTATATTAAATTTCGAAGATATGGCAATCCAGAAGTAAACAGACATCAGGCTGGAAATTATTCTTGTTTTGCTTCAAATGCTGAATCAGATGGAGAAAGCAATACCATTGAACTTAAAGTTATGTGTAAGTATACTTTTATAATCTAAGCTAAGTGGGGTAAAATCCCCCCTATATTTTATTTTTTTGAACCCATGAAGTAGCCATTATTACTTCTCTATCCAAGCTTGATCTCCAGGTATCTTAAATACTTAAAGTATCTTAAGATACTTTATCTTAAATTCTTTTGATTTTTGGTATTTATACTTAATATTTTAGATATCGTCGCCTTCAGGAGAAAATCAGGTAACTCCACATTTTCATTAAAATGGTATTTTAGTGGCATCTGTTAGATAAAACTGTAACTAATTTATATGCAAGTTACAGAAGTCCTAAAATAAACCGCTAATTTAAATTTAGAAAAGAAATATACGTATCTCCAATCGTGGAGGAGCGTCCAGGGAATAATGCCTAACTCCTGTATACAAATCAGTGCCATTGACAAGTATAAGTTATTGCCTAGTTATTTTTTTCTGTATACGCGTAAAACCTTTGTTTTCCGAAGTGAAATTTGTTAAAAGTAAGTATGAGAGATTGTATAGTGTGTTAAAGTTAAGGTACCATGAATAATTTAAGGTTACTTTTATTAACATAAAGTACATATTGGAGATACGTAATTTTCCAATAAACAATTTGGCGGTAATGTGGAGATACACCAATACACCTTTAATTTGTTTTTCTTTCCTCCTGTAAAATTTTACTACATGGAGTTAAGCAATTTTCTCCTGAAGGCGACGATATGTACTATGCTCCACACCTCAAAGTCCGCCACGTGACTACGTACGGAACGCAGTCTTTTAAAAATTTGGCATTTTAGGCTTTTCAGGTTATGTATCTGTCAAAGTATAGTCAACGAAAGAAATAATATTATGTTTAGGCGTTAAAAATGTATAAATCTTTATAACATTACAATAACAATGGTTGGTTTAAGAATTTAAGAATATAAATACTGCATTTAATGAAATTCTAAAGTGTAAGGTGCCAAATAAGTAATATTTTTGTGCATTTGGTCCAAATTCTCCATAAAATAATTTTAAATAAAGAGCATTTATTAAAAAAAATCTAGCTTCTCTATTATGGAATAAGAATATCTGTTTTAAAGGTAGGTTAATATATTATAACAAAAATATCATCTAATTTTGTAATTTTAAGGTTATAAAAATTTTGACCAAAATAAATAATTATTTTGGATTATTTAAAAAGACTGTATAATATGGTATTTAAAAATGTGGTAGTTTTTCTTATCCAGCTTAAAGTGTACCTACATAAATTTTTGTCAATACAAATAGTTAAAAAGCTTCGACCTGAATTTGATCTACATTGAAAAATCATTATAAATTTAAAAATTTTAATAAATCACATGTCATGGGAGTATTAAATATTTTCACATTGCAAGTTTCTCTAAAAATTGTTTGTTTTCTTATAATCTAACTTAAAGTAGGTATGCCGAGAGGTATACAATATATGCACAAGTTTTGTCATTAGAAGTATAAAAGCTTCAATTTAATTTGAACCATATTTAACAATTATTTAGTATACCTATATTATTTATGACCATATTAACACACTCTTCCAAATAATCCACTTATTTATTTTGGTCAAAATAGATTTTTCTAACCTTAAAATACAAAATTAGATGATATTTTTTGTTCTAATACATTAGGTAACCTACCTTTTGATACAGATATTCTTTTTTCATAATAGAGAAGTTAGATTTTTTTTTAATAAATGCTGTTTAGTTAAAACTATTTTATGGAGAAATGTAGACCCAATGCACAAAAATATCACTTATATTGCACCTTACACTTTGGAAATTCATTAAATGCAGTTTTTATATTCCTAAATTCTTAAACCAACCATTGTTATTGTGATACTATAAAGATTTATTAACTTTTAACGCTTAAACATAAGCGGTAACACTATAAATATTATTTCTTTCATTGACTATACTTTGACAGATACATAACCTGAAAAGCCTTAAATGCGAAATTTTCGTTCCGTACGTGGTCACGTGGAGGGACTTTGAGGTGTGGAGCATAGTTTTTAAAAAGTATCTTAAGTACTTGGAAGTTTTTTAAATAATTTTTTCTAACATATTGGTACCCCAAAATATAGTAGTTCTATATTATTACCGACTGAGATAGTTATAATTGTATACAGCGTCATCTAATGATTTGACTTTAAGGTAACTATTTATAGAACTCTTGTTTTTACAGTATTAATGTTAATTGTCCAATAACTATAAAGTGTCTGATATCTGTCTACTTTACCCTACTAAGGAGCTACTTATTTGTTATTTTGTTTTAGTTTTAGAACTCTGTTACTTACATACAAAATCTATTAAAATATACAAATGATATATTTATTTATTTATTTAATACATCATCTAACAGTCCTTGAACTAATGACAAGATGAGAAAATTTAAACAAGTATTACATTATACATATAAATTCATATAAAATATACATAACAAAGTTAAGACACAAAAAAAGAAAACTTTAAATATCAAATATATGGCAAAGAAAAAACACAATAATATTATAAGGAAAGATAAATAAATTAGGTATTTATAGTAATACTCCTTATTATTTAAACATTACATGAAAAAATATCAAATCTGTCTTGCAAATAATTGATGGGAACATGTGGTGTATAGAGTGTGATTCTAACTTTTAACCTTAATTAAGACATCAAAAATATTTCTATATTTAATTGAAAAATGTTCTACTAATTTTGGTCTCAATTTATTATTTTACTTTATAATGACCCATCTGTAACTTATTTGAAAACTTGATGCCTGCATTCGCTGGTGGCCATTCAATAGAAGGTCATTAATACAGCCACTCGCTTCTGGTTCCAGACACGCCGATATGCCGCTCTGAACAGAAAAAGATCTACGGAGTGGCAAGGAGGGAGACGGCAAAGGTCCTGTGCGAAGTGGAGTCCTACCCGCCCCCGGACACTTTCGAGTGGTCCTTCAATAACTCAGCCGAGACCATAAACGTGCCGGACTCCCGCTACATGCCCGGCGAGCACAATTTTTCATCTTCGCTCACTTACACGCCCGTCACCGAGCTGGACTACGGAACGGTGAGTTTATTTTAATTTTTTATTTTTGAAATCGTAAACCAAATGCTTTTCCAGTGCTTCCCTTAAGCATTTGGCATTGGGCATTCGCAATTTTTGCTCTATTCACTACACGACCGATTCCTAAACTACAAGTTTTCAAGACTTGTGTCTGGATAAATAGTCGCGCAATATATTAAAATATCTCCATTTTTATTAAAAATTGTATGCTTTTTTTAAATATTTATGATAGTTAAGTTACTTTTTAAAACACACCATTCCGATTCTTTGTTAAAAAAACAATACCATTAATATTTTCTTTTAGTCACTGTATTAGTAAATTAAACTCTAATTTATAAACAGGTATTACCAAGTGATAGTAAAATCAAAAACTAAAAAAGTAACGAAATAGACATTGGTATCACAACGCACTGGGGTACACAAAGGACTTAATCAGATAACGTAAAAAAGAAACTATATAGGGTGGTACGATTTTAGAGTAAGTAATGCATAAACAAAATCCCTTGTAGTGGTGCTCACGTGCAGCATAACAACTCTAAATTATAGACACCCTTTTTCTTTGACTATAAGCTGGTGTCTTTTAGAACTTGTATATTGCGTAGAATTTTCCCTTGGATGTAATCTATATCATAACAATTGTTTCAAAAATTCCATGGAAATACTTTAACATTTTTTAACAAATTACCCGAGAAACCCCAGGGCAAATTGGGCTATCTTGAAACATTAACAACTTTTTTATTTTAAATGTAATGAAATCTTTTAAACAATGTTTTAAGATTGCAAAAATTCCACCCCCATTTCTGCAAACCTAATAGCAAGAAAGTTATAGGCTGTTTTTGATTGACGCGCATTTGTCATATTTTAACGGAAAAAACTCCAAAACTATTTACTCTAGGTATAGGACATGGTACAGTAAATTTAATCAAAACTTTATGTAAAATTTAAAAATGTAAAAATTTATGAGGTGTTTTATTTAAAATAACAAAGTTTAAAATATTTTAGAAAAATGGATTATAAACGCTTTAAAAATTTCAAATCGATATCTTTTGCCGTTCCTCAGAAACTCCCAATGGACCTCGAACGTGAAACACCCGTATTTCGTAAATGTGCAACACCCTGTATTTAATTAAAATAATTTTAAAATAAAAAAATAATCTTAATGGTTGTCGATTTATTCAGTGAATACATTTTTCATAAAAATATACTGTCTAGCTGTTATCGAATCTGTTATATTATGTGCCGAATACAGTGGATAACATAATATTGGATCTTACTTAAAAAAATTTACGTGATCTGAATAAATGCCAAAATCTATTTTTTGAGGGAGGGAAAAAATCAAATTGTTGATTTTGTCTATCAATATACCCAAATATTTTATAATGTTTACTCTTTCTAGTTTTTTACTATTAATACATAAATTAAACTTAAAATTTTTAGTTTTATGACTAGGACCAATTAACATATATACAAAGTTTATATACAAAAGTGCTCTTTTAGTTCCACCCTTACTTCTTAAGAAGTCCCATAAGCCAACTGAATGGCTTGTGCGGGTTAGGGGTAGGAACGGACCGCGGGCTTAAAGTCCCCTCCGAAGGACTATTACACAATAGGACAAACACAAATAAACAGCCATACCCCTGGTGGGATTCGAACCCACGACCTCCGGCTTGTAGTCAGCAGCACTAACCACTCGTCCACCGTCGGCGATATATTTAGTTTTACCAACATTTACACACATATTATTTTCACACAACCATTTAAAAATTACATTAAGTTGGGTGTTCATGATATTAGTCATTTCATTAATATCATTCCCTATCACATTTATCATGGTATCATCAGCAAACATACATATTTCACAATTTTAGCCATATCATTTATATATAAAACAAATAGCAGAGGACCTAAAACAGTCCCTTGAGGAACTCCATGAACCGTGTCAATTGTATTAGAATAAACGTTATTTATATTAACGATCTGAGATCTATGAGTCAAATAGGATTTAAACCGTTTTAAAACATTTCCAGAAAATTTCATTTTATTTAATTTACTTATTAATAAGTCTCTATTTATAGTTTTAAAAGCTCTTTTAAAGTCTAAAAATACAGTTAAAATAAGTTTACCTTTATCTAATTCTTTAATCCATTTATCACAGACATTAATCACAAGAGTGTTTTTTACGAAATTCTGACTGATTATCAGCAATAACACTATTTTTATCACAGTATTCACATTTGTTTTTTAAAAAAATGTTTTAGAAAAATAGGCTTAATTGGATTATAAACGCTCTAAAAATTTCAAATCGATATCTTTTGCCGTTCCTCAGAAACTCTCAATGGACCACGAACGTGAAACACCCGTTTTTAGTAAATGTGCAACACCCTGTATATAATTAAAATAATTTTAAAATAAATAAATAATCTTAATGGTTGTCCGTTTATTCAGTGAATAAATTTTTCATAAAAATATACTGTCTAGCTGTTATCGAATCTGTTTATTATGTGCCGAATACCGTGGATAACATGATATTCGATCTTACTTAAAAAAAATTACGTGATCTGAATAAACGCCAAAATCTATTTTTTGAGGGAGGGAAAAAATCAAATTGCTGATTTTGTTGCAGGTGATGTGTTGGGCGAACAACTTGGCAGGACGTCAGCAGGACCCGTGCGTATTTCACATTATCGCTGCAGGAAAGCCGGACTCGCCTTTCAACTGCACCGTGGTGAACACGACGATAGAATCGTTGGAGGTGGAGTGCATGGACGGCTTCAACGGCGGGCTGCCGCAGTTTTTCCTGCTGGAAGTTTACGACTGGAAAACGGGAACGTTGCAGGCCAATGTTTCCGCTAAATTTCCCTTGTTTATCGTGAGCGGGCTGGATGCAGGGAAAGTGCTTAAAATGGAGGTGTACGCCGCGAACAGCAAGGGAAGAAGCGAGTCCGTTTTGCTGGAAGGTTTTACCCTCAAAGCGGCGGAAAAACAAACAGGTAAGTTATGCTTGCGTTTAGCGGAAAACGCGGTCTTTTAAGAGCCCTCCTAATTCTTACTAATTGTCCAGAAATATTTCAAACCGAGTTCTTTTTAATTAAAAACAAAAATACTTTATTTTAAGAATTTACTGAAATGTTTAACATCAAAATAAATTAAAATTTTTAGATTAAATTATGCAGTTAAAATGGGTTTCTTATATCAGGAGACTGTTACTACTCACTCCAAATGTAATACAAAATAATAATAGGATTTTTAAAAATGTGAATCTGTTCAATAGATCCTATATTTAAGAAAATAATAGTTAAATCAAGTACAACCCTGACATTTAGTATACTTTTAATTTATAATGTTTTTTAATTAGAATTTAATGTAATGCAAGATTGTTTAGGTCAATTTATCGAATATTTACTTTTCTACAAGGCATTTGTCAGTAGACCCTGTGTCAAAAGTTATGAGGCACTTTTTAAATTAAAAAACAGATAGCGTTTCCGAATACCCAAAAACCCTCAAAACGATAATTTTGTATACAATTTTATACAGGATAAGCAATGTCAACTCTGAAAAAAAATCAACACACTTTATAAATTCCTGCAAAGATTTTTTGAAAACATTCTGTTTTGTTACTCTTGTAGTTAATTAAAAAAAATAGTGGTATTTTAAATAATAATATCAATCCCAATATAATAAAATATTAATTATGAACTTTTCTCCATACAACTGTAAACCATCCCAAGCAGCATTTAAATAAAACCTTAGAGCTTTAAGGCAATAATACTTAATTTAAGTAAATATTTTGTAAAATTAACTTTAATAATTTACTTTGAAGTAAAACTTTTTTTAAAGCTTTATTTATGTTATTTTTACCTATTTTAATAACCCTTAAGTTTCAACACAAAAAAAAATTACTTATAAGTGTATATCATAAAGTAAATTTAACAGTAATTTTAACGTCAGAATTTTTACATAATTTTACGATATCAAGACCACTTTAATTCCTATTCGCCTGGTACTTTTTAGGGTTATTAGTGGTAACAAATACTATTAATATTGACTAAACATAAAAAAATAATTTTTGATATTTGATTGTTTCGACCTTTACTTGATGAAACTCCATATTATAATTATTATGTAGATATAAAAACAAATATGTTTTGAAAGTTTCACGTGTTTTATTTACTTTTGACAATTGTTTCGTCACACAGTGACTTCTTCAGAATGTATTTATAACTTATTATTAAGTGAGTTTATATAACACAATGTTTTATGGTACAAAAATTTTTGGGTCTACCTGAATAATATTTGCTTAATACATTGAAAGAGAGTAATAATGGAAAAACCTAATTTATTGTAGTACAATATATTCCTTTTGTGTGAATAATTAAAATAAATTTAATAGAGGTGAATTATTGGTTTCGATTTGATCATTTAATACAATATCAGTTTGTTTCTTTAATTTATTGATTTCCAGTGATTCTAGTAAATTTAATTTTGAGCCTTTACTTTCTACATGTAAAATTTTAAAATTATGATTAAAAGTATGGTTTTCTTGAATTAAGTGGTTTGCGTAAGATGAATCTATTTTATTATTATTAAACGATCTCCAATGTTCGTTGATTCTAGTTTTAAAATTCCGACCTGTTTGTCCTATATAGGTTTTGGGGAAATCAGAACATGTTAATTGGTAAACTCCTGACTTCTTATGTTTGTTAGATTTATCTTTATTATTTTTAATTAAAATACCTAAGTTATTGTTAGTTTTAAAAGCGAGTTCGCTGTTGATTTTTTTAAACAAGGTAAAAACGTGTCTCATGTTATAACCTAGGTATGTAAAAATACTAATACGTACAATATTTTTACATACCTAGGTTATAACATGAGACACGTTTTTACCTTGTTTAAAAAAATCAACAGCGAACTCGCTTTTATTACTTTGTAGGTACCATTTTGTAAAATATAAATTAAAAGAATAAAGAAATTACGAATGACAATGTTTAAAAAAGAGAGTTAGTAATTATAGCGTTATTTTTACGTAAATTTGTGGTATTTATATTGTTTTTATTTCGTTATTCTCTTTGTAGATCAAAAAGGTTATTTTTTAGGTAAAATAACGAAATAAACCATTTCCCAAATTTGGTAATTTTTCGTATCTATATCGTTATAAAACCGTTTTAAATAATACTTTTAAGTTTAAATAACTACAAATTTACTACTATAGTATACTAAAATAACGAAATAAACCATTTCCCAAATTTGGTAATTTTTCGTATCTATATCGTTATAAAACCGTTTTAAATAATACTTTTAAGTTTAAATAACTACAAATTTACTACTATAGTATACTATAGTAAATTTGTAGTTATTTAAACTTAAAATGCTGCTTGGGAAACTAGTATTGAAAAATATGTTTTTTTCAGTGCTGTCCTTGGGAACCAGAGACCAACTGGAAATTGCACCCATCCTTGGCATATTGGTCGGTGTCGTAACAGCCCTACTCCTAGTGACGCTGCTAATTCTAGCCGCCATAAAAATCAGGGCGGCGCGCCGAGACGGATCCAGAGCCCTCAGGCCTGGATTCCTGCCCGTCAAAGAAAAGGCGACGTTGCCTCTTCGGTCGGAATCCGAAGACCTGTTCGAAAAGGACGACAAGAATCCTGACGTCATACCGTCAAATAAAGGTAAGAAGTTTTATCTGTTGGCTTTTAATGCCACACAATATGAAATGTGTACTTTGTTACTCAAGATTTTTTATTCATAGTTAACAGCTGAAAACATATCTCTTAAAAAATACTTCACGTGTAAATTTCGCTGTGATGTATGCATTTAAACTTCAGTCATTTTAAGTAACATGTTTAAAAAACGACTAAAGTTTAAAAAGATTTAAATTTTATATTGTAAAATATGATAAAAGTTATAAAATTTGTCATATACGATTTAAAGTGTTTAACATAATATGTCATGTTTTACCTAAGAAATGCAAATTCCTAAAGCTTTATCTTTCCTGAGATGTACATGTGGATGTTTTACAATAATATTAAACAAGTTCTTCGCCCGCCACGGTGTTTCAATTCTCGAAATTTTCGGCAAAATATCAAGGAGTAGTCGCATTTTCCTAAAAATCCGTATATAAAGATTTTTGGGGTCGCTGATAACGAATCTGGAATCAGAATTATTAATTGACGGAATAAATTGAAAATCACCATACAGGGGTTTTTGTGGTCGCCGGTAATGAATCTGGAATCAGAATTCCAAAATTCAAAATTCACCTCAAATGGCGGACATTTTTATCAAAAAATTGTCGAAATGAATTAAAAACCCGTAAGAGGTTCTTTTTAAAATGCAAATAAAACATCTTTTTATAAAATAGCCCAATTTAGTTTATTATAATTACATTTATATGATATTATTTAATACCTACATATATATTAAACAATCTCCGTCACTGGATTCGCTAAAAAAATTGTCAACACAAATAACTACAATTCAAATTTGACATTAACACACTACAATGCGCATGCGGAGTTGTTTTAACGCACCTACAAGAGGTGGGTTAAATATGTAAAATCGGTGTTAAATATCTTAGTAGTCACGAACGATTTGCGCAAGTGAAAGTCTAGACACCGCTGTTGTAATAAACGTTTTGAGTTAAATCCGAGTGAATCGAGTAAACGTCATGAACGCAACCCAGAAATAAAAAAAATCTAATATTTTGTAAAGCAAAAACACAGATACGCGCGCGACATAGGCTTAAAATCGCGAGGTTTTTTACCACAACCATGCCTGTGCGCCCAAGAACATGAAGTTTTAAAGAGCCGGGGGCAAGTTGGGGCAGATAATTTATAGATGGTTTTATATACAAAACCATAAGCTATTCAACAGATATTGAACTGATGCCTTACAATTCATTACAATTTTTTTAGCTCCATTGCTCTAAAAGCTCGATTCAAAGTTTGCGATTTTAACAGATCGATCTTGTCGGTTACAATAACCCGTTGTACAAGCAAAATCTACGAAAAACAAATACATATCTGAATTTTACATACCTTGAAGATCACCCTTCATCAAACCGCATAACATTTGGACACACCAAACACAAGTTATTCACTTTTAAACAATAAACAATTTTCCACAACGATCGCGTGTAATGTACCTTCAACTGAAAGCGTCAAGTTTAAACTGATGTACAAGACAAAATATACGTATTTTATATAATTTTTTTTCAATACAGGATGGAGACAGGTATTAACTACCCATCCAACTCAAAATTTACCTGATTTTTTTTCATTTTTTGAGGTTTTGCCGATATTTTTGCACTGACGAATTTAAATCAGTTATTCAAACGGGAAGAATTACTTCAAACACCTGTGTAGAAAAAATGTTGAATAAAAAAAAAGCATTCATCACTCTTAAAAAATTCATTTTGGAGTCAGTAGCAACCAAGAAACGGATCTTTGGACTTAAAAGTGAACGTCAGGCAAAAATGAAACTGTTGAGATAGGAGTTGTTGCTGATCCAACTTTGAGTACTAGGAAATAAGCTACTGTTACCAACATTAAACATTTAGTTCATGAACTAAATGAGGACGATTTTGACCAGCGACTGGTCTTAAATGGAATACACTATAATAGCAGGTATTTTTGGAGATCGTCTAATAAGATTTTTCTTGATGTTTAACCGAAGGAAGGAACGTATTAGGAATTATTAGAAGATGCAGTTTATTTAGAAGACAATTTATTGTTCCAACAAGACATATTGTATTGTACGAAGAGCTTTGGATTGGCCGGTCATATCTCTAGATTTGATACACCCAGACTTTTTCCTGTGGAGTCATTCAAAAGGTTCTGAACTTATTACTTATTAATCCATTTAGGATTAGTAAGATTAACACTGCAATATTTTAAGTTGTATCCCTTAAGAGAAATAAAATTATACAATTAAACAATCAGAGGTTCTTTGTTTAGGTATGAAAGCAAAAAGGATGTCTGCAATATTTTCTTTTGTCCCTTAAAAGATGAAATTTCGTTTTCAAGTAACAAAACATTTCCCCCGCTTTTCGCGGTAAACCAATTCGGCATTTATATGCGGAATTCCTCCGGGATTTCAAACGATTGTATAGGCTTTAAAAACCGCTAATCCCACCGAAATATTAATATTTCAAAAAAGGAATTCATCATTTATGTTTGTAATTTATTCTTAAAAACAAAGGGACTGACGTTATCGAAATAAATATACGACAGATTGAATGTTTAATATCATGTTTTGGAATGTGAATCAGAAAGCTTGAAATTGATTCTTTTTGTTTCTTTGATTCATTTTACCTTTGCGTTTAGGATAAAAATATTTTCCATAAAACAAAAGTCATGATTTAAAATGAGATTTGTTATCTTAATAATAATAATAATTATTATTATTATTATTATAATAACAATAATACAGTTTTAGAAAGATTGACCGTCTGGTTCACAGAACATAATAATGGGGTAGTTAAATTTTTTCTGACCTATACTTTTTATGGTTTTATTCAAGGCGTTTTGTAATATTAAACATTTCTTTGAAATCAGAATTTCAATTGAGTTTACCGTTTTCGAGATATTTACAAAAAATATAAATTTTTATGACGTCACAAACCTCGCTATGTGACCAACATTCTAAGATTTCTATTGGTTGAAAATTACCCGGTTGTCAAGTTGTCTTGTAAATGATTTCATTCGTTTATGTCAGAAAATACCCGAATAGGTTATGTACAAATACTGTCACTGTCAGTTGAGTCAAAGAAAATTCTGAAATTAAAAGTTTTATTGATAGGTTTACACATTGAAACACCGTGTGAAACCTAATAAAATGTAATAAATAGGTACCTAATAACTGTCTAAAGCAGTTTAATATATTTCATAGAAAAAAGTGGCAAAATAAAGCTGAAAATGAATGAAATAAATTTACAAAAAATAACAGTAAATGTAAGTTAACAATGGTATTTACGATATTTGTGTATAGTTTTTATAAAACTTGCATCCCTGATGATGAGCAAAAAAACCTTTTGTAAGATTAAAAAAATGTATGACAAACTTTTGGACTGTTCGAAGATACTACGCTCTAGAGTACATTTTAAGATATATCTAAAAGAATATAAAGAACTAGGCATTATACTAATGAAATGCATTTACGACAAAATATGATTATAATTATAGGTACTATCTTTATTTGTTTAAAAGCTCCAATGTTCAATGTAACCAACCATTCCACAAGATTCCTCTACTTTGGAGTCCGTTATTAATAAATCACTTATCTAATATCAATTACAAATAACATAACAATAACATTGATTTTCCATAATCTAAATTTAAAAAAAACATAACCCGAAAAAAAGAAACGTCAAAAAATCAACTAAAATTATACATCAAGTGGTTTTAAAACTAAAATATTATAACGTGGCGCCATCTATAGTAAGAATCTTAAACTAAACACACTGGCAACGTTGTCAATAGCCTAGTGACGTAATTAGGAGATTTTTTTGTAAATATCTCGAAAACGGTAAACTCAATTCAAATTCCGATTTCACAGAAATGTTTAAAATTACAAAACGCCTTGAATAAAACCATAAAAAGTATGGGTCAGAAAAAATTTAACTACCCCATTCGTTTTTACAACTCATTTTAAGACTTTAAATAACACTGCAGAAAGAAATGTCACTGCAACTGGCCTGTTGTATTAAAATAAAACTGCCTATTTAACAATTATAACCATAGGGTTAAGACTGGGCAAAACCATCTGGTTCCAAATTTTGTCCATATACGAGTATTTGATTTAAAATTTGGGTCAGCCACTTTTATAATGCATTTACTTTTTCTTTAAGCAATATTTTACTCGTTGACGTTTTGTTTTTAAAAATTTAAAAAATGGGTACCTAATATGTAATCAGCGACCTCAAAAACAACATGTTGTCAAATTTGGGCAATTTCAAGATATTTTTTAAATACCTGTTGTTTTTAAAGAGATAAATATAAAATTTGTAATCAGCAACCTTAAGAATATGTAAATACAAAATTTTATTATTTTTTATTGCAAACAGATTTGGCTTTATAAAATTTACACCGGCAAAAACTATAGATCTATAAAGCATAGCTTTAAAAACCACGCTCTGGAGTAATATTGCTACAATGCACAACTGCAATGTCAACACATTAAAAAAATAAAAAAGTTTTTATTTAACGTCATTATAATGACGTTAAATAAAAACAAATAAAAAAAATACCTGTAGGCTGCATTTCAGCCATTTGTTACATATATGTAACAAATGGCTGAAATGCAGCCTACAGGTATTTTGTTATTTGAAGAGCTACAAGGTTAATGAGAGAGAAGTTGCGTAATTATAAGCCTATTAAAATAAAATAAAACAGCTGTTTTCAAAATATTATAAAAAAACTAAAAACCTTCCTGAGAATTTTGAAAAGTTTTACATTGCTACTATGATTCCTTCCTTTGTCGATCGTTTTATAAATTGTCCTCGTACGACAAAATTACGTCTTATGACATTGGTTCTTTAATATACTATTATCTAACCATGTAAAATTCCAATATGGCGGCCATAGGAAAAACTAAAGATGGTGTTAACTCAAAATCTAGTAGAAATAACGAAGTTATAAGTTGTAGACATTGTCATAATAAATGTCAAATATAACGTGCGTTCCAATGTAAATTAATAACTAAGGCGGAAGCGGCTCCAGCGATCGATAAATTATGTTTAAATTCGTGTAGCTAGTCTGGTTTTGCATGCATAATGAAACCTTCATTTTTGCAGACTCTGATTACCAGCTGGGCTCGGCGGTGCAAACTCCAGGCCTAAATAATTCAACGACAGGGGAGGCCGAGTATGAGCAGCCTTCGCCTCACCAGCAGCAGCAGAACGTTACGCCGTTGACGGAGGCCTACTTGGCCAGAGACAGGGCTTTTCCGACCCCTCAGCCCGCATCGCAGAACCAGCAGCATGTAAGTTTGTTTTAGATTAAATTTCTAGACTTTAATTTTTGGAACTTTATACGCTAAAGAAGAATCGCTAGTAGCGCCACCACTCGCTTGTTATCATCGTAACAAAAGTATAACTTTAACTAATCAGCTGTCAAACGCTTATGTTACAAACGAGTGTTTTTGAGAATAAAGCCGGAAATTGTTAATAAATATCGAAAAAAAAACCGTGGCTCAATTTGTTGTGTTGTCGGGTGTATTTCATTCCTAGCTTGAGTTTTTATCGGTTTTCCAATAAACAGTGTTAATCTGAATGAAGAAATAATTTGCATACAGTCTCTGTTAATATAAATGGTACCTATTAGAAACAATAAATACACATTTTGGTAGTGATTAACGTGAAAAGTGTAAACATTTCAATCCAGTTATAATCGTCAAACAAATAAGTCGTCTAAATTTAAACAGCATTTAGCATTATTAAAAGCATGGATTAAGAAGTCTGAACTTAACGGTAAAATACCATTATATTATGTATTAATAAAGTAAACTATTTATACATAAATTAATTAATTTTAATCTACTTTTTTTAAATTTGACTCATGTCCCAGACATTTTTTCCGTTGCGTTACGTCCGTCACGTTATAGAATATTAAAAAAATATATATATGGCAACTTTTTGACAAATGATGTTCGGACGTAAACATTACCCAGCTGAATTTATTTATTCAATCAGGAAGAAGATATCGGTTGAAACAGGTGCGGGTAACGCGAATGTAATAATTGTTTGTCCGCTAAGTTACTCAAAAAAATAATAAAAATAAGGTAAAAAAAATCTATTTTTCATTTTTATGTTTATTTTAGGGCACTAAAGCTCATAGAGAGTAATTAATGACTGTAATGTTTTATTATTATTTTTTAAATATGGTTTCACAAAACTTTGTCCACTGCGTTACCGAGTCCATTACGTTACCTTATGGTAACGCAATGGAATTTAGGGTAACGCAATATAATTTTTCGACAACAAAGTGGATATTTACCGTCGCTTTTATTAAAAGTAGTTTATGATAAACCAATTTAAAATTATTTGTGATTACAACTCATGATATAGATTACCTACATCCAAGGGAAAATTCCACGCAATATACAAGTACTAAAAGACACCAGCTTATAGTCAAAGAAAAATGGTGTCTATAATTTAGAAATCTAAGTTGTTATTCTGCAAGTGAGCACCACTACAAGGGATTTTGTTTATGCATTACTCCAAAATCGTACCACCTTATATAGTTTCTTTTTTACGTTATCTTATTAAGTCCTTTGTGTACCCCAGTTCGTTGTGATACCAATGTCTATTTCGTTACTTTTTTTAGTTTTTGTTAAAAAAAATCCTTAAAGTAATTTTACTATCACTTGGTAATACCTGTTTATAAATTAGAGTTTAACTCACTAATACAGTGACTAGAAGAAAATATTAATGGTATTGTTTTTTTTTAAGAAAGAATTGGAATGGTGTCTTTTAAAAAGTAACTTAACTAACATAAATATTTAAAAAAGGCATAGAATTTTTAATAAAAAATAAAATTGGAGTCAAACTGTGAACTAAGTACATTTTATTTCAAATTATTTTTATAACAACTTTTTTTATTGAATTAAATTTTGGATTTCAAATTGGTAACACAGTGGAGACTATAAAGCTAGCTAAACACAGTTTTCTGAAAAAAACGTAAAAAAAATAAAAAGTGCACTGCCTGTCTTAAATGTAAGTAAACAAAACTCTAAACCCCAAAAAATTTTGATCTTCATTTTCCTGAAAGCGGGTGTTTCTTGAAAATGACCCATATATCATATTATGTTGCCATGAATTCGTAGGTATACATTGTTGTTTAAAATGCAGTTGTCGGCCTTTTTTAGAGAACTCAAACATAAAAATGGTTAATTTTAAGGTTATGTTTGTGCAAACATTATTTTTTACTAATTTCTTAAAAATGTCCAAACTTAAATATAAATTAAATTAGGTAAAGTTATCATTAGTTAATTCTGCACCAACAAATGTGCTTACCGAATTGGATCCTTTGGCAAAACATGAAAATGCAACGATTTAGTTCTTGAATTTTATTTACAATTAAAAACACAATAATTCACCATGATCCCTTTAATAAAATACACACACTAACGTAGCTATATAAGCATTTAAGCGTTGAGTTTCTTAATCAATGATATAAGGAATAATCAATCGAAAAGTTTTTTAGTTTTTTCCTGGCAACGTAAAACACAAATAACCTGCGCGATTTAGCTGTCTAATTGAAAAAATTTGTCGAGTAAAAAAACTACCTATTTATTTAAAAATGATGTATAATCTGTGCTTTAAATGTATTGTTGACGTTGCGAAAACCCGATACTTCTTTACCGTATACAGGCAATTTGTTAAAAACACCTCAAATATATTTTGTAAATGTTTGATAATCTCCCAAAATTATGAACAGTGGCGTCATATTTTTAGATTCCATAACCCAGAAATACTTATTATTCATTCAAAAACAATTAATTAGAGCTTGCTTGAAATGAGAATAAAAATGATTTTTAATCATACACTTTTGTGTATTTCCTGCAATTTTAGGATGATACGATTTTCATGAATGTTTGATCTAACTTTTATCGTAGTCCAGATTTAAACTGAAAAGATAAAAGCGGACATAACGATCGATTTTCCTGAAAAGTATTTCAGTAATTTAAAAGCAAGCCATGCTGGTTGTTTTCCAGTTAGAGGTTGCTCCGCAGCCAACTACCCTTTTAGTAATTTACATGTTTGTTTTTATTTATTCATAGCCAACTTTCTTATATTCAAATTAGTTGTAAGAGGAGTTTGTTGTATTTAACTAAATACTGCACATACCAGACGCGTAATATATTATATTATTGTTTTAACTATATTTTTATATATTTTTTTTATTGTCAGGAATTTTATTTTTAGGAAAGATATACGCCAAAATTTGGTATTTTTTAATTGTAAGTTTTTGTTTATTTTGCCTGTCTAATCTTTACGCTTTTTATGTATGAAATAACACACGAATTTTACTAACTATAGTTCATTCCATTTAAGAATGGAGAAAATGTCGCTGCAAAAGGAAAACGTGCTAAATTTAAATATAATGGCAGTTGTCGCTTATACAGAATATTATTTTGTTGCAACAAATAAGGACAAATAATAGCAACCCTGAATGTACTACACCATGAAACAATAATTTACTATACTAATTAAGACCTTTAGACTCGGTTGAACACTCCCGTTTGTAGTAAACTGCTTGACTGTACGGTGAAATGAAGTACGTGATCGAATTTTATCCGGAAAACGCTGAGCGTAAATATTAACAGCATCATCAAGATTCCTGCCTGCTTCCCCATAAATCAAAATCATTTCTATTTTTTCTTCCACTGTTAAAAAATCCATTATGAATAACTGCTTAACGAAAGGAGGTCTTTTTGTTTGCAAATTAATCTTCGAACTAAATAGATTAAATAATGCTAAACTATGTATAAATAGTTTCTTTATACGTCAATAATAATTATTATTTATAACTAAATACCATTTTTTATACCTCAATTAGGGTTAAATTAATTAATTGACAAAATAGTGTTTTTTTACCTTATATGGGGTATTTTTATTAAAAATAGTACAATAATCCTTTAAACCAAATTATTATAGGCGACAAATACGCCTCACTGTCATAATATGACAAGGAAATGTATTTGTCGTCCCCTTAAAAAATTTTGCGACATATTAATATAAATTTATTTAAAAATATTAAATAAACAATTTGACCTCTAAACCATAAGTTGTATCACATTATTTCATAAAAAGTAAAATTGGAAAATTTTGTGGGATAAGTCAGATTAGATTGAAGTTGAAGATAGTTAGGGTTAGGATTATTATACATAAAAATGTTAATTCAGAAATAAAAAATCGGTATACAAATTAATAAATATTTATTTTTAACATATAAAAAAAACAAAATATTTCCTCATAAAATAATTCTTCATAAAAGAAAAAACCAAAAAGTTCTTCATAAAAAAACATTTTTCATTGTATTTAAGTTGGATAGAAGATTTTATGTAAAAGCCGGATAATTTAGATACCTATGTAAAAATATTTTTGTTATCGAATATTGTTTTAATTTGACAAATAACTATAAAAAAATATTTTGGGTTGTGTTTTTTACTTAGTATTTAATACTAAGTATAGGTACCTTTATACGTAGATTATGGTATATTTTACTATTATATAGGTACCTAACTGAACTGAATATGCTTAACAGAATGTTCCAGGAATATTCCTAAACGAACTTTCTATAGCAATTACTTTCTTAACATTCTAAGCATATGTTTAGAGTGGATTAATTTTTACCACTAAACTTTGCACCTTTGCACCTGCCTATAGGCCAGTGAGAATATTCTTAGGATTATGCTATATTTCTTTTAAGCATGTTCTTTAGAAGAAATATAGCATGATCCTAAGAATATTCTCACTGGAAGGTTTAAAAAACATTCTTAGAACATGACTAGAAGAAATATAGCATGATCCTAAGAATATTCTCACTAGAAGGTTTAATAAACATTCTTAGAACACGACTAGAAGAAATATAGCATGATCCTAAGAATATTCCCACTGGAAGGTTTAAAAAACATTCTTAGAATAAACTGTGCTATCAGGGGTTGGTTTTCCACACTGTCGACATTGTACCTAATGTCCATTTGGTTCATATTGTCCATATTGTTTCTCAAAAATTTAAAAATATATTTCTTTGGTTATGTGAAGGGATTTTAATGTAATTGACTTACCTGTTGTTCAGTAACAAATTATTAACAGTGTTAATGCGTTAAACAAAGCCAATAAATCACAGAAGAAACAATAAAATAACAAAATAAATACTTTCTATGATAACAGCTAATGCTACTGCCGCCATTTGAAACAAATTTAATGCTACGTTGCCAATGTTCGATGAATCAAACCTTTTGAAAAGAAATATTCTGCACGATTGGGAGAAAATTAGATTTGGTTCCTCACAAGAAAACATTGATAAACAATTTATTTCAATTAACTCTTCTATTCTAGGTCCCCAGCGAGGTAACCTACGCAGAGCTGGCTCTGGCTCGCCCCAGCTCGCTAGATGCGCTCAAGAACGGAGCCGCGGTCCAATTCGGCACGCTACGGGGAAGAAAGACGGACGACCCCACAATATACGCGCAGATCGACCACAATCGAAGACCCCCTCCGCCCCCAATACCCGCCAAAGCTTCCCCGCCCATGGTGTCTCCGGTGGCGAACTTGTTCCCCACCGCCAAACAGGGTCTCTACCATCGGGAGGTTGTGACCGTACGAACTCCCCTGATGGGGTGTACGCAGGAGAGCTGCGTCTAAGTTTCCAGTGAGTGAGTAAGTGAGGGAAAAACTTTTAAATAGTGTAAATAATATTATAGGATGTGTTATTATTTTATTATTCTAATAAACGTCTAATCCAAAGAAAAGACCTAAGAGAGTTTTGTAAAATAAAAGGAATACAAACACATAACACATATCGACTAATCAATATAAAATCATATCAAAAATGATCTTACTATTTATAATGCTCTTGGGCATTATTTTATTTACACCCTGTATCAAAAGCATACATTGTATAAATTTAATATTTAAAAACAATCAGTAACATAAAAATAAATTTTCAAACAGGAAAGAAAAATTAAATTTTTTTTAGATTTTCCAGCTTAATCTTAAAATTCAAAATATATATATTTATATACACTGTATATTATACAGTCTCCTCGAATAGGTGAAAAAAATTCAATTCAATTTTTATTTTCGGGGGTTCAGATTAATTTTCAACATAATTTCAATTTTGAAAAATCAAGTATGCCTTTTTTTTGTAGGTAAAGTGCATTTCTTATTGTATATGGGGCATTCCACGCCAAATCGGATGGTTGAAAATTTTTTTTTTTTGATTCCTCCAACTTTTTTATATTTTTTAGTTTTCCTTGAAAGAGCTTTCTCAGTAAATTTTGAGATTTTTTTGATCAGCGGCTTTTTGCGATTTTTCAAAATTAAAAAAAAAATTCTGTAAAAATTATTTCGAAAAAAAATAGTAAGTATGGAAGGCGCACTACCGGACCAGGCTGAATAGTTGTTGAATAGATAGAAATTGAAAATAAATTTTTTTCGCGAAAATCAAAGAAGACACATTTTTAAAAACACGATTTAAACTATAAAACTCAAAAATCTTGACTTAAAAAGCTTTAAATATTTTCAATATATTCTTTTTCGAAAAGTACATTTAAAAATGAAAATTTGATATAAACTGCGCACCACTCAATGTGTCGCGACCAAAAAGTTCGTCCTTTTTGTTTCTTGAACGATTTTATTTTGGTCTGTGATGTCTGCTAGCCCTATCCTCTGGCAATTCATGCTATAGATATGAAGCTCACTGTTCTTCAAGAAAATTTCGTACAGGGTGATATGTAAAACGGTCAAAAATTTCAGTAACTTCATCTAAGCCCCGTTTGTAAAAAATATATATTTTTTTCGTTTTTAATAAATATTGAAGTATTATGTCTTACCTTGAAAAGGTTTTCAAATTTTTTGTATTGGAATCTTAGCAAAGAAAATTTGATTTTTTTTTCAAAAGAGTACATTTAAGGCTTTTTGGTAGGCAATACACTCAGTCCTTATAAAAAATTGGAGGAATCAAAAAAAAAAATTGAAACCATCGGATTTGGCGTGGAATGTAATATTTTTTGAACTTTGCTTTTCATTTGGAATATACGTTATATAAATAAAAGTTGTTTAAAATCATATTTTATGTATAATTTTTTTTTATAATATTTTATCGTATATCCCATATGAAAGGCACTTTACCCACACAAAAAATAGTAAAAAAGTTGGCCAAGAATTTTAAAATTTGGTATAGATTCCTAAATGTTAATTCTAAACAACTTTTTTTATAATATTCTGTCATATATCCCGTATAAAAGGCACTTTACCTACACATAAAATAATTCTTTTTTTATATTTGAACCCCCGAAAATAAAAATTGAATTCAAATTTGATTTGGATTTTACAAGAGTCGTTACACCTATCACATGTATACCTACACACTAGGGTGTTTAAAAAAAACAATTATTTTTTTCTTTTAATGGTGTTGAAAAATTAGTAGTAGGTACATTAAAAAACAAAAATGTTGGCGCCCATTTGAGCCCTTAATTAATATTAAGGTTTGCCTCAATTCATTTGTGGTTTTTCCATTTCAATTACACGGGAATTTTTTTTTTTAATTTTGAATTCTTATAAATTTGGAATGGTTTGTTTTCGCAACACCCAAGCAAGAGGATTTATAGGAAATTTCACGCTCTACAAAAACATCTGAAGGTCAAAGTTCTTCAGATAAACCGTTTCAAAGATATCTGCGATCAAAAATAACACTAATCAAACAATTTCAAATATTTTCCAATAAAACTACAAAAATATATCATATGCCATAATTATGTTATTTTTTATGTAAAATCACTTTAATTCTGAGACTGTAAACTTTTTTGTTTGTTTTTTATTAATTTTTAATTAATTCAATACGTAACAAAGCACAAAACATAAATATAAAGATTAAAAATATAATACTCGTATAAATGATTTTTGGGTCTCTTTTATAACAAATTTTTGTAAAAAGAAAATGTAAAGTTCCTTATTACACTAACTAACCAAACACTCATCATTGAATTTTATTCAAAATAATAGAAAAATTATGTAAATATGTTAAATCAATAAAATCAACTATAAATTTTTTTTTAAACACCCTAATACACACTGAATGTATAGGTACATAAAATTTTGAAACTCCAAATTATACTCATAAATAAAAAATATCTAACAGCAGCTAATTTCATTAATAATTTTCTCATAAAGGCATCACCCTTGAAGGTATCTTAATTAAAGAATTTAATTTAAATTTGATTCATCGATGTAAAAAGTTTAATGCTGTTTTAAATTTTCCGATGTCGATGTTATGCTCAACCTAATAAAAAGAGTAATTTATCTTCCTATAATAAATTGCCGGTTTGTTTCTTGACATAAAAACCATCGATTTTGTCTAAAGTAAAATAAATTAAAATTACATATCCTTAAAAAGTTAAAAACTTGACAATAATTGTATTTTAACTTTTATTTTACAAACTTATATATTTATTGCACAAACTGGATATGACTTGGATGTTTTAAACTATACTTCGAGTAAATAAACTTGTTAAGGTTAGGGCCCAAACGTTAGTATTCTTTCAATACAGTATTTTGTAGCTAGATCAATTTTATTTGTAAAGTTTGTGGAGTTCTAATAACTAATTACATATCTCGATGAATAAATTTTAATAAAAACAGTTCATATCATTTCTAGTCAATAATATAGTTAAAAATTTATTAAATTTTAGTGTACATTTAAATGTTTTATACAGAGAAGTTTTTATAGAATGAATGATAAAGTGTCATGTGTGAACACTTAAAAATGTAAATTATGTAAATACACATTGTAAGACATTGTTACTATATTAAATGTAATATCATACATGTATTTCTGTGAGGATTGGCATGATGAGATTCTCTAAAACAATTGTACAAATTATATCAATTTTATGTAATGTTTAAAATTTACTATGTCTCCGTAAGATCTGTAAACAATTCTGTAAACGATATTATAAATAAAGTGTTTATTGCTATGTCAAATATTTTTTTGTTTTATTTAACAACATGCAGTTTTCTCACTAAATGTCCCTCGATGGTGTTACCCCGTGATATTTAATAAAACTAAATGAGTTTGACCTACACTTTTATTGTGTTTGATCTTTCATAATTAAGTAGATATTACAGCTCAGGTTCCAGATTTTTAACCGCAATTAATTATTTTTTACAATGTTTTAAAAGTCTAAAACCTATCCTCCGTGACTTTTCCTCTTTCTAGGTTAATCTATATGCTTTCAAATAGTAGTAAAAGCATACTAAAAATATCAGTTCACTAAGTTAATTAAACACATCCAAAGCAATCGAATCAAATATAAAATATTATTAAAAATTAAAAGAAATAATTTTTATAACCATTTATGTAGGTGTAACAAAAATTGATTCTATCCTCCGTCAATCTGTTTTTGCTTTAAATTTTATGCAACGGATGGCGCTTTAATCATTTTAAATAAGCAAAAACCTCTGTTTACGACATTATAGATACATGTGATTCCTGAAGGTCAGTTAGAATTTATATGCAGATGAGAGTGTTGCTGTTTTATAATTTAAAAGTTTAAAATCATTAATTTGCTATTTAAAAACCTATCCACCGGGAAGTGTAATATCTCAGTAAGTAGATTTTTTTTATAAATATTTTATGTAAGTGCAATTGTATTCAATTGTATCTCAATATATTCACCCACATACATTTCATTGATGACGGTTTGGTCCATTTTCATTTAATAATCTAATGGTGTTTTATTTTGGTAATATTTAATTTACCAAAACCACATTAATTTCATGCTGCAGATATATGTTCTGTTCAAAAGTAAGTGTATTCTGCATTTAATGGAAATTGGTAATTTAATTATAAATTTTATAAAGGATATATGTAAACAAAATTTTAGTTGGTATATAAATACATGTTTGCGTCTGTATTGAAAGGATTAATTTGAACATCACCTAAAAATAATTACAATAATTTAAAGTTTATCGCACACTTGAAACTGAATAAATATTAACTTTAATAATTAAATATTTGTTATTAATCTAATATGGGTTTTAATGCACATCTAAAATATATCATAGTATATTACGTATAAAGTTTAATAAACGCCATTTTAGTCGTGAATTTTAATTGGGCACGAGCGAGCTTGCGAGCGGGTGTTTAATTCTGAGTTGGTACTTTAATAATAAGGAAATAAAAAAGCTGTTTTTTTCAGTAGCGAAAGTTTCTTTAGTAAGATTATTTCCTTTAATTTAATCAATGCGACGCACAGTGGTCTAAGACGCGGCAAAAACCCAATTTTTAAAACACTTTTAATTGTTCTTGGCAGATTATTAAGATTTTAAACTGCGAAGTAGAAGTTACTGCGCATGTTTTGCGTTATAACAAATACCTGAAAGAATTGTCATAAATACTTAAGAATCTTCAGAACCTTTGCACTTTCGTGTTAAAAAAGGTATTGCTTAAATATAATTTTGAACGATGTCAACAATTTATAGTATTGATAAAGGTGAGTAAAACAACAACTTTAAAATGACTTTTTTGGATTATTTTTCGAAAATATGTCGTTTTTACCATACAAATTCTTAATTTTGTGTAATTTCAAATATTAAATAAAATGTAAGTAAAAATTAATAATTACTTGACCGGAATCACCTATAGTGC